CACAGCACTTGGCTGGGCAGCCATGGAGCAGACACTTTCACATGCCTATGGTTTTGATAAGAGGCATAGGTCAGTGCTGATATGCTACCACGTCAGAGTCGCATTAAGTGAAGAGCCAGTCAATTGCCAGGATGATCTAGGGAGCATGGAAATACACAGTAACATGCAAACTATATCTTGATTACTGAGAGTAATACCTTTAAGGTAATTTTTCTGCTGCAATATTGATATAATTTAAACAAGATTTGGTAGCCAATAAGTGTCTTTTTTATCATACATGTGATATTCTTATTCATTAAATGTCAGAAATCAATAGAGACTAAAATGTTTTGCACAACTTGCTGGTCAAGAGTGAACACTGAACAAGACAAGAGGTACCCCTCTAAAAATAAAAGTAAATACAAAATCATTTGAACAACATATTTTTACATATTTCTCAGTGATTGACATTTATAATTGTTTTCCAAAGATGAAAAAAATTGTAAGGATATGAAATGTACTCGTCAAAGGATTTGGACACTGTGATATAAATTATAACCCACTATAAACACTCCAGGCTTAAAGTGCTATTAAGTGTAGTTTATGTACATTGAAGAGTGTAGAAGTTGCATGTGTGTGTCACCCTCATGCTCTGTGAAAGGTCAGTTTGGAAGATTATCATCACCGCCATCATTACCACTGCTGTTACCAGCATCATCATCACTAACATTGTCATCATCAACAGTAAAATCTAATTTGTTGTTGCTACACACTTAAAAACATGCTGACTGCACTCTCTGCCATCTGCCTGTAAATACTCGCTGTACTGTACTTTGTGACTGTGCCACTTCTATCCAACTGCCCTTTAAGAACGCACCACTCAAGCCACTCATTAATATGCATGTTTTTCAATTCACACAATAAAACCTACCGAATTTGAATCACTTTATTCAGCAAAACATTAACACATATTAACCATGTTTGAAAGTATAATTGCCCCTCCTTGAACCGCCACCTTATTGTGATGGAGGGGTTTCAGTACCCGAGTGATTCTAGGAGCTATGTTATCGGGAGCTATATGGCCCTGGTAGGGTCTCCCAAGGCAAACAGGTCCTGGGTGATGAGTCAGACTAAGAGTGGTTCAAAAGCCCTTTATGAATAGATTAAAATCAAGGACCGTGACGTTGCCCGGCATGGCGCAGCCGGGGCCCCA